ATAGAGAACCACGCTCTCCGCAAGCCTCTAGAGATTCTTTTCAACGGTATATGCCGTAAGTACAATACATGTCTGTACAAATATTCCTTGTCAGTATTTGCAGCCGGATACTTTATTCTTTTTCAATGTCGTAGACGCAGCCAGCATACGTGTGAACTTTATTTGAATAATGGAGAAGTCCGCATCTACTCGACCCACAGGCAGCAATCCCAGAGAGCTGCTGTTGCTAGCCACAGCTACCTACCTGTGGCTAGCTAGCTGCAGCTAGCTAGCTGCATCTGGGTAGCTGCATCTAGCTGCATCTAGCTGTGGCTAGCTGGGACATGTCACTGCCAGCTGTCGCTCGCGGAGGCTTCTTGTAGATCAAACTAATTGAGGCTGAATAGAGCTTTCAAACGCAAGAAAAGGAATAGGCAATAGAAATGCAATAAACATATTGATTGGCAATAAACGAAAAGTTGCAATTTTCCATTTTCTCTTTCTTGTTTCCCCCCAGTCTGAGGCTCCTGCCTTCTGCGGATTCCTCCTGAGGAAGATTTGGTTGGGGCTTTTTGGAAAAGAAGTTGAATATATAAATCCCAAGACCCAAACTCTTGGCAAAAGAGTTCAATCAGATTTAATTTATGTTTCCTCGCCTTCGCCGCATTAAGTCGTAAACTCCAAGGGCGTCGCGCAGGACTTCTGATGGATCCTGCTGCTGCTGCTGCTGCTGCTGCTGCCGAGCAGCAGCAGCCGCAGCAAGAGGCTTTACCTGCAGAAAAAGCTCTGCAATACTCCTCGTAAGCGAAGAGCTTTGCTCCTCTTGCTGCTGCTGTTGCTGCTGTTGTCGCTGCTGCTGTTGCTGCTGCTCCTGGATGGGGCCATCGATGTACAGCGCCGTTGGCAGCAGGTCCTGAGTTCACACAAACCCCATTTCATGTACGAGCAGCCGCTGCAGAAAGAAGCAGCAGCAGCAGCAGCCTCAGCAGCAGCAACAGCCTCAGCAGCAGCAACAGCAGCAGTAAAGGACCTGCAGAGAGCCAAGAGCTTCAGAAGAGAGGCAAGAGGTGTTGCAGACAACGTCCAGCCTGCGCAAAACCCAGCAGCAGCAGCAGCAGCAACAGCAACAGAAGTGTCATGCATATATCTCAGCCACACTCGAAGCAATTAATGCAGCAAAATAGAAAATTTAGCAGCAACCGTGGCTGCTACACAGGCGGCAGCGGCACAGTCAGCGACAGCAGCAGCAGCAGCAAAGCACTTCTGTCCAGCACACCCAGTATTCACCTGAAGCATTAAGTGCACCTCTAAACCCTAAATCCTAAACCCCAAACCCTAAACCTTAAAGCCTAGACGGACCATGGCCTCCGGGGAAAAAGGCGTCTCAGCGTGAAACGCGTTGAGAGCACTTTACTGGACTCTAAGCTGTTGCTGCTGCTGCCTACTTTGTTGCTGCTGCTATTGTCGCTGCCGCTGCTATTGCTGTTGCTGCTGCCGCTCCTGATGTTGCTGTTGCTGCTGTTGCTACTGTTGCTGCTGTTGCTGCTGCTGCTGCTGCACTTGAGCGCTTCGGCATCCGTCACGTAGCAAACAGCAGCAGGAGTCGATCCCAAGACTGCGCGCTGTTACAAACCTCACAAAACGGGCCCCCAAACCCTAAACCCTAAACCCTAAGCCTCGAAACGCAAAACCCTGAAGGATAAACTTTGTTTCTGAAACTTACTGCAAACAGAAAAGACCAATGAGCTTCTGTGCATTCGGTGAGAGCCGGCAGCAGCAGCACCTGCAGCAAAACGAAGGCCACCAAGGCAGCTGTAGCAGCAAGCTCACGAGCAGCAGCAGCAGCAGCAGGAACTTCAGCTGCTCCAGAGCGCCCTATTTTAAAACCTCTAGGGTTTAGGGTTTAGGGCTCCCACCTGTCCTTTCTTTGCAGCAGAAGCCACATAAAGCCGAAGGCCCCCAAGAAAAGGCGGGGTAACATCCAGCGCTGCGGGCATGGATGCTGCTGCAGCTGCTGCCGCTGCTGCTGCTGCGTCTGCTGCAGCTGCTGCTGAGACGAAGCACACGCAGGGGCCTCGACTCCACCCGCGCTGCAGCGAAACACAGCAGCAGCAGGAGCAGCAACAGTGGCAGCAGTAGCGGATCCAGCGGAAGCAGCAAACGAGCAGCAGCAGCAGCAAAGCACCTTGCAGCAGCAGCAGCAGCAGCAACACTGGCAGCAGCCGCTCTACCTCCAAAAGGAATCCCTTGGACAAAAGCCACTCCACTGAGCCCCTTAGATTCGCGTACTGCTGCAGCGCGGGCGCATGCAGCAGCAGCAGTTGCCGCAGCTTTGCTGCTCCTGCCGAGTACAGCTGAACGCAGTCACCACCAGCAGCATTAGCCGCTGCTGATGTGCGCGCTGGCAGCAGCAGCAGGTGGAGTAGCAGCAGCAGCAGCAGCAGCAGCAGCAGCACTTACCCGCCGCACGGCCAAACGCGAGCCCCGACGGCCTGCTGCGCGCACTTCGCTGGAGAGTAGTTTTGCTGCAGCAGCAGCAGAAAAAACGAGACACAAGCATTTGTTGGAGCAGCAGCAACAAAAGTAGCAATCAGTGCAGCAGCGGCGGCAGCAGCAGCGGTTAGGGCTTGGCTTGCCTGAGGAGATAAGGCTTTGATGCAGCAGTTGCAGCTGCTGCCGAACATGTTCGATTCTTTCTCTGGACAACTGCTGCTGCTGCACTAGTAGCCGTTGCTTCTGCTGCTGCTCTTGCTGCTGCTGCTGCTGCTCTTGCTGCTGCTGCTGCTGCATGAGTAGGTGCAGCAGTTGCTTCGCTGTTGGGTTCTGGACTCTGGCAGGGAAAAACTTGAGGGCAGCAGCAGCTGCTGCTGCTGCTCTTGTGGCATTCACTGCATATTGCTGTAGTGCTACAGCAGCAGCTGCTGCTGCTCCTGCTGCTGGTGTTTTGTGCACACCTGGCGGCGGCTGCTGCAGCGGCGGCCTAGCCGACAGCAGCGCGTCGGCTGGGGGGCACTTGGGCAAAGCAAACGAGTTCGTTGCTGCTGCTGATGCTGTTGTTGTTGTTGCTGTTGCTGCTGCTGCTGCTGCTGCGGGAACGGCAGCAGTGGCGTATCGCCCGGGGAATGGCTGCCGTAGCAGCAACTGGTACTCTGCAGCAGCAAAGGCCGCAGGTGTAGCCACGCCGCGAGAAGAAACAAATTCTCTTGTTTGTAAACAGCGAATTGATTTAATTAAGACTAAAAGAGGAAAAATGAGGAGATAAAACATAAAGCGGAACGAGGTGGCCATGCCATCTGCTGGAACTAGGCTGCACAGAGGACTGTAGTCACTAATCTAGGGTTTAGGGTTCAGGGCTTAAAGTTTGGAAACAATGATTTAGAATTTGGTGAGTCGATAATATTAAGACACCGTAATAAGACAAAACAGAGCGGTTTCATACGCCCTAATCCCTAAACCCTAAACCCTAAACCTTTTGAGCCTCCGGGGGTTTTTAATCCCGCTCTAACTCTTGTTGGACTCAAGGGTTTGAAAATGACCCTCTGCAGTCATTAGCTAATTATTTGGTCGGTTTTTTGAATTGCTAATGCCCTAGGGTTTGGGGTTTTTGAGGATTTAGTGTTTGATATTTGGGGCTGGGGCTTCAAGAACCACAGCCCCAAGCATCAGCAAGAAATCGACTCACATCTGCAGTAAACCCTAAACCCTAAAAAGAGGTTTATAAGCGTTATGTGATTCTCGGCTTTCAGATCTAGTGAGGCACAACATTTAGGCTGTAAACACCGCAGACGCTTGCAAGCCAGCTCATGGTTCAGGGTTTGACGTTTAGGGTTTAGTCCTTAGGGTTTAGGGTTTAGGGCTTACGCAGCATGTTGCGACGTAGTGCCAAGGGTTTGCAAAGAATGGGAGTCTGTAGGTTTTGCAGCTCACAAGAGTGGAATGGAGAAGCTTTTGGCTTAAAAAAGAAATCAGAAAAAAAATAGAAGGCCAAGGGATGAAACCAATAAACAAAGGGACCAACTCGCGCAGCCAGCAGCAGCAGCAGCTGCTGCTGCTGCAGCAGTGATGAAGCCTCACTTTTGCATGCACCACACCCCCATATGTGCAGCTAGCTGCGCATAGCAAGCCACAGCTTGCCGCAGCTAGCTGGCCTTGGCTAGCTAGCTTTAGTTAGTTGCTGCAGCTACGGCGAGCTGCCGATTACTAGCTAGCCGTGGCTAGCTGGTAGTGAGCAGCTGCTTCGGCTAGCTGCCCAGCTAGCTGGCGAGGTACGGCTAGCCATCTCTGGCCAGCTAGCTACGGCTAGCTAGCAGCAGCTAGCGGCTAGCTAGCCACAGTTACCCCGCCTTTTACAGGCCAGTTTCTTTTCCTTTAGAGCATGACAAGAAAGTTAAAGTTGATTCAACTTCAAGGTGGCCTTAATTGCATTTCCTGATAATTTCGTAAATATATATTATTGTATACTGTAATAATTAGTCATATTGTTTCCAGCTATCTGCTGCAGCGCAGCAAACCATTCCTGAAATGCAACAATTGGATTAAATGAAAATCAAGAGCTGCTTTAAAGACTAGAACAAAAGATAAACTTTCATTTGAGGCCCCTCACAAAGGCTTTCTTCTGCAGCGGCGAGATCTAGAGTTTGAAACCACTTTTGGAAGTTGAACTTGAACGTATGGAATCCTATCTTGGCTACCTGTGTGAACAGATCCTGCGAGCTAGCCATTAGCTAGCTACGGTGAACAGATCCTGCGACCTAGCCACTAGCTAGCTACAGTGAACAGATCCTGCGAGTCAGCCACTAGCTAGCTGCTTGAAAGCGCCTTAGTGCTGCCCCAAAATTCAAATTTTGCGTAAAAGTTCTTCAGCCAGCAGCAGATCCTCCGCTGGAGTCCGATCAGCTCTCAGTGGGGCTTCACCTCTGCTCGGCTCCGGCCGATCCGCCATTATTTGATATAATTATTTTAAAAAGTGTATTTATGAAAAAAAGGTTGTGAAATGCCATTTAATGAAGTCTCTGAAGGCGCTACAGGCTGCTGCGCTCTGCTTTCCTAACAAGCAACAGAAACCTGGAATCTTGCTGCACTTCATAGCATGCAGTTCGAGCTCCAGCAGCAATCTCTGGCCTTCGCAGCAGATCTGAAGCAGCGGGATTTGCTGCAGCTGCTGGCTTGCAGTGCAGCTTCGCAGGGTTTAGGGTTTAGTATCGGCAGTGCAGCTAGCCAGCGGCTAGCCTGCAGGGTATCCTAGCTAGCCAAGAAAGGCTTCCTGTTTTAGACAAAGGCAACATCTTCTGTTTTTATATTTTTAGAAAGCCAAAGAAATGCAGAAGAGGCAGAGCAGCTGTGTCGGGGAAGTTCTTGGCTAGCTGTGTAGGATCTGAAAACCCCTACCTGCTAGGTGGCTAGCTGCCTTGGCGCGATTCGTGAAAAGCCTAAACCCTAAACCCTAAACCCTTTTAAGCCCTAAACTCCAGCACTGAATTTCTGGAACTCGTGCCATTCAGCAAGAATTGCAGCTAGCTAGACACAGCTAGCTAGCCACAGATAGCTACACACAACTAGCTAGCCACAGCTAGCTAGCCACAGCTAGCCTGTTTCATGCAGCGAAGTCCTTTGTATTTGAGAAGTCAATTAGTCAGAAATAGACTAATTGACTTCTCAAATACAAAGGACTTCGCTGACGACTGCGATGAGAGAATGTAACAGGAAATATCAATCCATGGCTCAGGTTAAGGAACAAAATGCAAACGAAATATCCCTGTTTGGGTTCAGGGACGTACGGAAGCGGCACCCACTGCGGTTGCGGCTGCTGCTGCTGCATCTGCTGCTGCTGCTGCAGCAGCTGCTGCTGCTGCTGCAGCAGCTGCTGCAGCTGCTGCAGCAGCTGCTGCAGCAGCCGCTGCTTCTGCGGAGGCCCTCAGGGCCCTTCAAGAAGAGCTGCCGCCTGCAAGAAGCAGCACCCCACCTCAGTAGCTCTACCTGAGACTCAGCACTACTAGCACGAGTAGCAGCAGCAGCAGCAGCAAACGCAGCGTACTTACCAGTCTCAGTCTGCAGGCAGCAATGTCTTGCTGCGAGAAGCAAAAAGGCCTTCCATTGCAAATGGCAGCCACAAAAAGGCACAAGAAGACACCGCAGTCGTCTGACCCCTTCTGCGGGGGAACCCAGAAGCTGCCACAGCGCCCGCTGCTGTTGCTGCTGCTGCTGCAGCAACTGATGGTGTTGCTGTTGCTGCTGCTGCTTGCATGGGCGTCATGAGCCCGCAGCTGCGGCAAACCACTTGATTTTACATAAGTGTGGGGTGACCGTCCCCCACGTTCGTCCCTTGCCGCTTGCTGCTGCTGCTGCTGCTGCTGCTGCTGCTGAAAGCTGCGCTTCTCTTCTCTAGGAACTTCATAAGAAAACTCGCAAGGCAGTGCCGCCTGCCATTCGGGTGAAGGCACAGCTGAGGTAAAACAGCACCAAATGTCATTAAATATGAAGAGCAGCAGCAGCAGCAGCAGCATGATCTACAGCAGCAGCAACGGACCAAAAGTTTAGAGACAGCTAAACTGACCTAGCTCGCATCGGTCGAAAGATATGGCTAAAGTGTAGCAGGTGGAGGAGCAGCAGCAAGAGCAGCAAACGTTGCAGAAGCAGCAGCAGCAGCAGCAGCAGACTGACCTGGCCTCTTGGCTTCCCAGCACTCCGTAAGAAAAAGTTTAATAACTTCATGAAAAGGTTTAAACTGCTGAGGCAGTGCGTCGAAAACAAACGTCAGGCCCCGCCTGTGCGCATGCAGCAGCAGCAGCAGCAGCAGCAGCAACACGAAGTGACTTCCGTAAGAATCGCTACGTCACCGTGGCTGCCCAGTAAACCGCCACCAGCAGCGTCAGCATCAACAGAGGGCAGCCGAACTGCAGCAGCAGCAGCGCAGCAGCAGCAGCAAACTTACGCCAAATCAGCAACTCCCAGGGCCCAGTGTACTGTGTGCAGGTGCAGCGGCACCAACAAAAAGCGAAAGGAGAAAATGTCTGTTCCACGAGTCCACCTCTGAAAAAAAACCCTAAGCCCTAAACCCTAAACCCTAAACCCTAGCTTCATGCATGCAAACCCTCATCAGCTCTGTGCTGTTACCACCCTTGGCCCGTCGCTGCGTTGTTGCGATCTTTAGCACTCTCAAGCCCTAAACCCTGAACCCTAAACCCTAAATCCTAACTCAAACCCCAAACCCTAAACCCTCACACCTGGACTCTCGCGACATCTGCCAGCCCACTCTGAAGCATCGCGAAGAAGAAAGTGTTGAGGATGCAAACGCTCGGCACGCTGCAGCAGCAGCAGCAGCAACAGCAGCAGCAGCTTCCACGGCCCAACTTGCGCTCAATGCATCAGCAGCAGCAGCTTCATCAGCAGCAGCCGCTACATCAGCAGCAGCAACTGCATCAACAGCTGCTACATCAATAGCTGCATCAGCAGCAGCGGGTACGTCAGCAGCAACAGCAGCAACAGCAACAGCAGCAGCTGGGAACAAACCTTGTGGGGCTCTGTTTGTGTCTGTTTGCATTCAGAAGCTGCTGCTGCTTCAAAAAAGCATTTATAACAGCATCATCGAGCCACTGACTTCCCCTCAGCCGCTGCAGCTCCTGCAGCAGCACTGGTGCTGCTGCTGTTTCCACTGCTGCGCTTCCGGGCTGTACGTACACCCCGGAACCCGGGCCCTGCTGCAAAACCCCACAAAAGGGACTCCTGGCCCCTCTAGCACCCTGCTGCTGCTGCTGCTGCTGCTGGGATCGGTCAGATGTGATGGGCACATTCAGCAATAGGGAAGCCATTGCGGACGTTCCTGAGGAACAGCAGCAGCGGCAGCAGCAGCAGCAGTGAAAACAGTAGCAGCAAGTCTCTGTGCTGCAGCAGCTCACGCAGAAGCAGAGCTAGCAGCAGCAGGGGGCGCTTGCTGCTGCTGACTCACTGCGGGAGGGCCGAGGCAGCAGCAGAGCAGACGAGAAACGGTTGCTGCAGCGCCTGCAGCAGCAACAGCGCATCCTGTCATTCAGTCACATCCCTGCTGCTCCTGTTGCTTCACTTGCTTCTATCTTTGCTGCTGCTGCTGTTGCTGCTGCTGCCGTTGCTGCTGCTGCTGTTGCTGCCTCTGACTCGCAATCCAACTCCGTCTTTGAAGGCCAGCCCTCCACGGCGCGACGCCCGCGCCGCCGCAGTGTCTGCAGCATCACATCAGCAGCAGCAGCAAAAGCGGCTATGGAGGAGCAGTTCATCGACAAAGGCAGCAGCAGCAGCAGTGGCGGCAGCACAAGCAGCAGCAGCAGCAGCAGCAGAAAGCTCATGCGCACTTCCTGGTGCCATTGCCACTCGGTGGCGTCCATTCGCCTGTGGCGCACTTGAAAACTACAAGGACTGCCTGTTGGCTGCTCGCTGCTGCTGCTGCTGCAGGAGCAGCAGCAGCAACACTAGGAGGGGCAGCCGCTGCTGGAGCTGCTGGAGCTGCTGCTCCCTGGAGTCGTGCTGCCGCTTGTCTGCAGCTATTGCCGCCACACAGAAGGTGCGTATTTTCTCTCAATTCCAGACACTCTAAATCCACTTTAACCTCGCAGCACATAAACGCTCAGCACTAAACCCTAAACCCTAGAGGATTTTCATCAGAAAACTCCCACTGTCTGCTGCTGGCGGGGCAGCCGGTCAGCGGCGTCGAAGAGAGTGCCACTGCTGCGTGTTTCGCCTTAGAAATTTGCAAAATGCGTCAGCTGCTGCTGCTGTTGTTGCTGCTGCTGCAGCTGCTGCTGTTCCAGCTGTGTTGCGTGGGGCATCGGAGGCCCCCGTGGGGCCACCCCACATAATTCGCTGCTGCAGCAGCTGCAACAGCAGCAGCAGTGGCTGCATTCAGCCTCTGTTTCCGCTGTGTAGGCTTAAATGTTTGTAGTTAACGAAACACAGCATCAGGAGCTGCAGCATCAGCAGCAGCATCAGCAGCAGCCAACAAGTCGGCCCACGGCTGCTGTTTGCATGCGCCTTAGTTTTACCTCCTACTAGGGCAGCTTGCGCTGCAGCAGACCCTAAAATTTATTAGAAGTATTGTGCTTTTATTTTCTGCCACCCTTGTCTGTCTCGGAACCCCTGCTGCTGCAGCAGCAGCAGCGGCATTCATTTCATGAGCGCAGCAGCAGCTTACAAGGATTGCTGCTGCAGAGGCCCTCTCCTGGTCTGAAGAGATTCACTTGCACTCGACATTGGAGAAGGAGATAGTGGAGTTCAGCAGTAGCCGCAGCGACGGCAGCAGCAGCAGCAGCAGCAGTGGCAGTGGCTGCAGTTGCGGCAGCAGCAGCAGTTGCAGCAGCAGGGGTCCCAGACACCCTCCTGCTCCTCCAGGGCCTTAATGAGCTTTTACGTATCTGTCTTGGGTGCTTCCGTGTCAGCAGAAGCCGCAGCAGCAGCAGCAAGCAGCTGCTGCTGCCGTGGTTTCGGTAGGCCTATTGAGGGAGCCACGTCTAGCCTTGCCGCAGCAGCAGCACCTGCTTAGCCGCAGCCGCAGCAGCAGCCGCTGCAGCACTGCAGCTGCAGCAAAGCCGGTAGCATGCAAAATCGGCAGCAGTATAAGCAGCAGCAGTAGCGCCAGCCCGACGAACCGCAGCAGCAGCAGCAGCAGCAGCAGCAGCGAGTCGTATTGCGAATGAGCCGCAGCAGCTTCAGCCGTCCTCCCGGCCGCCGCAGCCGCAGCCGCAGCCGCAGCAGGTCAAGGGCAGGGGGCCCCCGCAGCAGCCGCAGCCCCCGGAGGCCCTCGGGGGCCCCCAGCCTGGGGGCCCCCAGCCTGGGGGCCCCCAGCTTGGGGGCCCCCAGCCTGGGGGCCCCCTCTTCTTTGACGCAGCACCGCAGCATGAAGAGACGCGCGGGGGGCAGCAGCAGACCGGAGTGGGAAAGAGAAGACAGGGGCCCCCACGACAGGGACAGCTCTCGAGCGCAGCAGCAGCAGCAGCAGCAGCAGCAGCGGCTGCTGCAGCCCTCCGGGTCGCATCGCGCGAGCCGCAGAACCTCTGCAGACACCGGAGCGTACCCCAGGTCCTATCGCAGCAGCAGGGATCGGGATCGGGATCGGGATCGGGATCGGGACAAAGGAAGAGAGCGGGACAAGGAGCGGGAAAAGGACAAAGACAGAGACCGCGACAGCAGCAGACAGAGGCCCAGGCGCAGCGGGAGACACCGCGAGCGCTGCAGCAGCAAACAAGGAGACAGAGGCAGCAGCAGATTGCGGCAGCGCAGAAAAGTCAGAGACAGCAGCACGAGGCGCTACAGCAGCAAACCAGATTTGCCCTCTCTGTCCCCTTCGCCGCAGCCAGCCCCCCGACACAAACCGAGGAAGCCAAGAGGCGACACAGGTCAGCTGCTGCTGCTGCTGCTGCTGCTTTGCTGGTGCTGACGACGGCTGGCTGCTGCGGCTGCTGCTGAGTTGGCGTTTCTGCTGCTGCCCCGTTTGCTGCTGCTGCTCCCGCTGCGTTTTCTGCCGTAGTGGCTGCTGCAGCTGCTGCGTGTATTGGTGCTGTGCCCACTTTGCTGCTGCTGCTGACGCTGCATCGCTGCTGCTGCTGCTGCTGCTGCAGATCCTAGCTGGCGCCCGCCGCGCTACGGCGGGCGCCGGTACTACGTGGACAGGGCCCGGCGAGTGAGCTGCAGCAGGAGCCGCAGCAGCAGCAACTGGGTGAGCAGCGGATGCAGCAGCGGCGGCAGCAGAAGGGCTGGGGAGCGGCGGCGGGGAGGCGCAGCAGCAGCAGCAGCAGCAGGGTCGAGGTTCCGGAAACACAGCAGCACGCACAGGGGGCCCCCCGGGTCCCCCTATGAGGAGCGCCACTACAGCCTCGCCAATGGCAGGGGGGCCCCCCCTTCTGTGTCGCAGAAAGGAGGCAGCAGCAGACACAGGACAGAGCGCGTGAGCCGGCGTGCTGCAGCAGGCAGCAGCAGCAAGAAGCGGCGCATGCATTCGGACCACTCGGGGGTGGCGGGGTCTGGGGGGGGCGCAGCAGCGCAGGGGGCGCAGGGGCTGCTGCCGCAGCAGCAGCAGCAGCAGCAAAGTGCGCGCAAAAGCATGCGCAAACAAAACAAAGAAGCAAATAAAGATGAAATTACGCACTTTTCGTGGCAGCCAGGAATGTGGCTCAACGACCGCTACAGAGTTTTGGCCAAACTCGGCGATGGCACTTTCGGCAGAGTCCTGCGCTGCGCGGACGTGCGGCTGCAGACACAGGTGGCGATCAAGGCGAGCGTCCACAGCAGCTGCAGCAGCAGCAGCAGCAGCAGTGGCGGCGGCTGCTGCTGCTGCTGCTTCCGGTGTTGTTGCTGCTGGTCTTCGCTTAAGGGGTAGACGTTCCAGTGTTTGCGGAGTTCAAAGGGTTTCGCGCGAGGGGAGCAGGCCGCGCGCGGGCGGTGGCGAGCGCGGGAGGGCTTGGGCTGAGGGTTTAGGGTTTAGGGTTTAGGGTTTGGTTTGGGGCCGTGCAGGTCGTGCGGGACGTGACGCGCTACACTGCTGCTGCCCAGATCGAAGCCGATATCTTGCGAGAAGTCAACCGCAAAGACCGCAGACAAGAGTCCGGCTGCGTGAGTTTGCTGGACGCGTTTATGCACCACCAGCGCCACATGTGTTTGGTCTTCGAGTGCCTCGGAAAAAGCCTCTACGACGTCTTGTCCGAAAACAAGTACCGCGGCTTCTACCTCGAAGACATCATCCAGGTTGCCAAGCAGGGCCTCACGGCCCTCGCCTTCATGCGCGACTGCAAGCTCGCCCACACGGACCTCAAGGTGAACCCCAACAAAAGCCTCCCCCACCGCATGCATGCATGCATGCGTGCGTGCGTGCATGCATGCGTGCATGCGTGGGTGGCTGCTTAGTCGGACTTTGCATGCGCTGTTTTGCTAAGCGCGCGTGGGCGGAGTGCGTGCATGCGCTAGTTAGACTTTTACACAGTGCTTGCAATGGGGAGCATTCAAATTACTTGGGAACTCATGTTCAGGAAAGTGTGCGGGAGAGTGGCAGCAGGAGCACCACCAGTTGCTGCTGCGCCAACTGCTGCAGCTTATGACGACGGTTGGAAGATGTGGCTACGGAGGCACGAGGGCGCAGGGTTTAGGGTTTAGGGTTTGGGGTTCAGGGTTTAGTGTGCATTGTATATGGTTTATGCTTTGATGTTTTTCTGAATCCAGCCTGAAAACATATTGCTGCAAGGCGAAGAGATGTATGAGACGCGAGCGCCCAGGGTATGTCACCTGCATGCATGATTAACTTTTGCATTAGAAATAGTGGTGATCATGTTGAAATGTTTGGTGATGAATCATTTGTGCTTCTCTCCTACAAGCCTATATACAAAGACAGCTGCGCATTTGTACACTTTTTTGCCGCTGCCTTCCACCTAATTGTGCATTTGAGTGAGCATATGGATGGATGCATTTGTGTACATAAAGATATAATCACATCTTGAAGCTTATATGCTTGCATGCATTCATTCACGTAGATGTGTAAAGAGAATTTCATGAACTTGCAAGTATGGCATTGCGTTATAGCTGAAGGGGGAAGATATTCATGAATCTACTTTAATATGGCAATCAATGCCTTATCCCGTTTGTATTTGGGTTGTATGTACAGCCCTCAGAAGAGGACGACTGCTCGACTCCTTTCCTGAGGCCTGCAAGCATGCAAGTTAAAATTATTGACTTCGGTAGCGCTACATTTGAGGAAGACTACCACTCTTCTCTTATTAACACAAGGCAGTATAGAGCGCCGGAGGTCATTCTCGGTAGGCAAGGGGCTTAGGGTTTAGGAGTTGGGGTTATTAGCAACACAGTCCTATGGTTTGATTCACTTTGGGCTCCTGGAAAAGCTCTTTCGAGCATTTAGCCCAAGTAGCAACCGTTGCTAAAGTAGCAGCAACAGCAGCAGCAGCACTTGATGCTGCTGCTGTTTAGTTGATTTGCTTGGTATCTGCCAAGGAAAAGTGCCGGTGTTGGCTGTGTGTTTATCCCTCCTGCTTTTTGCTGCATTTCCGGGGTGTCATTACACTGCAGATATCGGGTGGGACATGGCGAGCGACATGTGGTCGTTGGGTTGTATTTTGATGGAGCTTTACACTGGAGATGTTCTTTTTAGAACTCATGAACATTTGGAGCACCTGGCAATGATGGTAGGATGCCTGAATATTCTGCACGTTTATTTCCCGCTGTTTTGCACGCCTTTTTTTTCTTCGTCTCTGTGTCTGTCTTCTATGTGCCTATGTGTTCGTCCGTAAACTTGTCTTCTTGTGTAGCAAAATGCCTTTTGTTTCTCTCTTCTGTCAGGTTTTATTTGCCTTGTGTAGCACCAGTGCAATGCATTACAGTGCCGTTGTAGCTGAGCCTCCCACTTGCATGGCGTTTCAGTGGGCAGTCATTCCTTATCGCCATTCGGATTATTGCTTCTGCACCTTTTGCTGCTGCTACTGTTTGCGCCCTCTAGGAACGCATAGTGGAACCGTTTCCCAAGGATATGCTGATGAAGGCACAGAAAGGCGCAGGCAAAGGCTACCTGGCTACAGACAGCCGGGGGGGCGTGCACCTCAAGTGGCCGGAGGGGGCAGCCTCACTGGGGAGTGTAAACAGAGTTAAGAACTGCGTGCCGCTAGAGGTGTGTTTTCCTCGTTTTTCCCTCAGACCGACAGTAGCTAATGTGCACGTGGTGCAGTCGAATGCATGTTCAGTTTCGCAGCAACTGCAGCTTAAGCTAGTTGGACTGTGCCGGCGATTCTAGTGAATAACAGGGAGGCTTCAGGGATTTCTGTGAACGAGGGGCTTTCATGCTTGGTCTGAGGTGCTCTTGAGTTGCTTTTATTGTATTTCTTATGTTTGTTTTCGAGCTTGAGAACTGCATGTATGCAATTTGAATGTACGTACTAAGTGCACATGCAGCCGCTGCTTTGCTTCTCGTGTCAATGCAAAGCATGTGCATGCTTGCGGCCACTAATACACATGAAGAGGGACTGTTCACCATTTTTGCTTCTTGCCTTTAGGATTTGGTGCTACCTCAAGACCGAATCCTGGCCGAATTTGTACGTTATCTGCTGCAAGTGGATCCTCGCAAGCGGCCAGAGCCAAAGGAAGCCTTGCGGCACCCTATCTTTTCTCTTCATAAGTGGGATCGTTGATAGGTTTATTTGCTGATCGAGCATTATTGGATGAAATGGTGTATTTATCCCCGCTTTTTGCGACCACGCACACCACCTAGTGACCCATATGCACGTACACTGCAGTTGGAATGCAAAGAGATACTGTTTTTGTTTGTTTTGGCTCTTGTTTGGGGACCGCGCGGACCCCGGCTGCCATGCAGCAGAGAGGAGAGCTTGGGGCGTGTGCAACTAAGCATTCCCTGCTACAGATTACAGATTGGCAGTAACAGAGGCCTCCTTGTGGGTCTGTGCTCACATATGCGTAAGTTTCCGTACAAGTAAGGGCAAGCAGCAATCGCTGCTGTTTGGCAGACACTGAGACAAAGAGTGAGTGTGTCCTGTGGGTTCTCGCGTTTAAACGTAATTGCATGCATGCCGCGGAGGCATGCATGCCCAGCCCCAATTCTCAAGTTTGCAAAATAGACGCGATTGGCCCGGCAGGCGGCGCTGAGGGGAACAGGGACCAGCGACCGAGCAAACGGAACGACGTGTTTTGTCTATCTCTACCTGTATTTGTGTTTACGTATGATTACGCTCATTTTATCACCTTATTGCCTGCCGATTTTCTAACCATAGTGTTTTAGAGCAGCTGCAGGATATCGCCGGCAGCTTTCAGGCGTCTGTGGTTCTCGAAATTTGGGCCATCAGTGCAGCAATGTAGGACAATCGAATAACAGCAACTAAGAGGGCCACGCAGCTGCCCTCACAAAAAAGACTGGAATCAGCTTGAGGCTAGGGGCAGAGTGTAGATTTGAGGGGGTCCCCTCCAAAGATTTACTTAATTTCTATTCATGCGCCATTGCGATGGAGGCAGAGAGGGGGAGGTGGCGGAGCAGGGGGTGCACACAGAAGCTTGAAGTGCAGTGGAGTGCAAGTGCGGGGTTTACTGCTCCTGCAGCAGCTGCTGCTCCTGCCGGTATGTTTTAGAAAGTGAGAGGCCTATCCTGCTGGTCCTGCGCAGTGAGAACAAATTCTGCATTATTGGACGGTTGAGAGTTAGGTGGTGCAGCGGCAAAAGCGGCCACAGCAGCTCTCGTTAGTTTCTCCTGTAGCCAAGAAATGAAATGCTATCAGAGAAGGAAGAAAATGCACAGGAAAGACGAGACAGAACACTAAGGAACGAGCACAGATGTGCAGAGACACATAACCATCACTACGCATCCACGAGAAAGTCGATGTTTTCATTCGTTCGATATATTAGCGCCTTCATCTAGTCAAGCATTGATATATTTAATAACGGAATCGTACTCTTTTTCTGTCAAATGCAGTGTGAGTGTGGCCTTATTGGCCTTGATCGCAGTGCTGCTCTAGGGGCTGGTGTTGCCGCAGTGTCTAGCTTTCGGCAAATCTCCCCTAATGCATAGAACGACAAACAAACCATACACAGAATATATCTAAACGGCTTTAAAAATTGGTATGCGATTAAGAATGCCTGCGCGATTTCCCGCAGTGAAAGGAAAAGGAAACAACGGGTCCTGCCGCAGTGACCTCGCGAGCATCAGCGGCCAGCTAAGCAGGCAGCAGGTGCTAACTCGGTTTCTAAATGAACTTGTTCAAATAACTTGATTAGATACAAATCAAGGTTTTCATTCAACTCTAAATTCGCACTGCGCTCGCATTTTGAGAGACTCGATGGTTCACAGCGATCCCGACATGCAAGTCAATCGGCCAGTGCTATCAGCCTTCAGTTTTGCATGATGCAAAGAAGGTATATTCTTATGTGTACAGGTTCCTTATAGTGTCTAGTCTGTCGCTATTCCTGGAGCTGAACTAGCAGAGAGCTGACAGGCCCACACGCTACCTGCCAGCTGGCTTTGCAACCCCCTGCCGTTGCTGTTTACCAGATCGCGTGGCGTTGCCATCCGTAGTAACCTTACCTGTTGCCGTAAGGAATCCCATAAACAGTCAAATGGAGGAAGCTGAGAGGTACTTTTTGCGGCGGCGGCAGCAGTTTGAGGCAGCCTTGGAGGGGACGCCTTTGACCCATAGTAGGCCGCGTCCTCTTAGTGCCTTTGCCAGCCAAGGAACAGGAACAGACACCCGTCAAGCTGTACAAATACACAGCAAGATTCAGTGCGTGGGGCCAGAAACCTTCCCCAGCCCTTTCCGAGAGGACGTAGCTAAGGGGTCGCCAGTCGCACAGGAATTCGCCAAGCAATTTGCACGGGCATGAACCTGATCCCTGAACCCTAAGCCTTGACCCTTGCATATAAAATATAAACTTTTGACCCAGAAGCTTGTAATTTCATGCCGTGCGTAGAGAAATATTGCGCCGAGTGTAATAAGCCTTAACCAGAGAGTTTCCGCTTGTGTTGTGATTTGCCTGGAACAATACGTCAAACAAGATTTTGGAATTAGCAGAAACTAGGCGTCTTCACCGTTTTTATTACCACTGAAATTACTCCGTTTTTATTACCACTGCAATTACTCATATTAATATGAGCAATAATGATGCTTCTGAGGACCTCAGCTGAAGCTGGTATACATACTTTGAGCAGATTCATGACACTAGGGCTCAGGTACAGGCTGCGCGCTTCTATCATGCATGTACCAATATGGATGCAGGCAGAGGGCGAAATAGCCTGTTTGACAGCTCACGATGTTGACGAGCTGAGGGCAGTTATCGCAGCCCAGGGACGTCACATTGAGTCCCTGCAAGCGCAGCTGCAGCGGCAGCACGAGCAACTGCAGCGGCAGCAAGCAGAGTTGCAGCAGCGAAAGGTAGAGGCGGAGCAAGCTGCTGCAGTGATTGCGGAACAGCAGCGGCAACTCGAGAAAATGGAAACTGAAATAGTGGCAGCTGCAGCTGTAAATGAACAACAGAAGAAGCTGGTGCAGGAACAAAAGGCGCGCACCACACAGTTAGAGGAAGAACTTGAAAAGTGTGTGATGAAAACAATATAGAAACATGCATAAGTCGTAGAATGCGTTGACTTGCAGCTACCACCCATGGGTTTGCCTTAGTAACTTGCCACGCATGTGAAACAAAGCTCAATGGAAACAATTGCCGAACAAAACAAATACGTTGGTGAATTTCAGTTGTGCAGAGGTGCTCCAACCCCAGAAAAAATATACAAGCCTGAATATTTCACGCTCGTTTCTGTTGAAGCTTCGCGTTTTATTCCGTACTGCTGCAGGTCGCTTGCCAGCAGCAAGGAAGTGGCGGCACTCCGGCTCCGCGAAACCGAAGAGCTCCAGCAGCTTCGGCGGCAACAGAGCAGTTTAGCTCGGCAAGTTCGTGCGGACAAGTCGATGGAAACAGCAGCAAAGGAAGCAGCAACAGCAGCGCGCTATGCAGCGGAACTGCGAAAGGTCACGACCCAGAGAGATGCACTAGCAACGGCAATAAAGAAACAGTTCAAACTAATTGAAGTACTCAAGCAACAAAAAGCGCACCTAGAAGCTGCACGTTGGTTACAATTTACTGAAGAGGAGTTCCTCAGAGTAGTCGACGCTGAGGGGTCGCATGCACACCAACAGAACCAGCAGGCATAGTTCTTGGTTCCCGAGATGGGCCTTCACAGGAAGCAAAAGGAGAAAATAGGGTAGTTATTTTTTTTGGAAAGCGCATTGCGCGCTCCCTCAGTAGTGGCTTTCGTCCTCCTGCAGAGCTTGCAATCGGGAACTGCTGTCTCCTGACTCAAGCTAGCAATGCTACATATGCAAGTAAGAGCAGCTCTGGAGCCACGTTGCGCAAGCACGATCCACAGACACTTAGGCACCGCACAGCGCCGAAAGCTCAAACTTCCAGAAGAGCGGGCCTGCCGGACTCGCAAGAGCTCATTTCAACGCCAAAATGGAGCTGAATTGTTGAGTTTTTACAATGAATAAAATTGAGCTTGTTATCTGCTTCAAATTGCTGGCTCAGAAGAGCTGGACGGATTGTTCCGGAGGAATTGCGTGGCTTGCTTACCTCGACAGTTGCTGCATATAGCTGGTGAACCAAAATGATTTCTATGGGCCCAGATTTTATATGTTCAGCTTTTAGATTTACTTGTTCTGAACTATTGATGGCTCTGATTTCAACATACGCAATCAAAGGAAGAGGATTTCAAATAGACAGACCAGGAGGCACTTGGCTGTCGATGATGCAAGCAGCAAGTAACTTTGTGTGATAGAGGCGCAGCAGCAAACCGGAAAACGTAGCTAAAAACTTGTTTGGAACTAATTTAAGAAATGTATTTAGAGCGAAACTGCCTTGTTTTACCGACACATTGATCGATATTTACAGCCACGCTGCCTCACCGTCGCTGGCTGGCCTCTCGCACTCCCGTATCGCTGATCGCTGGGTGTCGCTTGTGCCCGTTGGCTGCTGCTTAACCTCTCCCGTTTATGTCTCACTTTCTGTTTTACAGTTTGTATGGTGCTCACGCAATTGAATTTTTTCGTTCTTCGGTGTCGATAGCTCTTTTGCACACACACCGTCATCCTTCGACGGGGTCACTTCGAGCGGTCCTCGGACCAGTCCATCAGCTGGTCATCAACAAACCAGCACTTCCAGCGAAGCAGCTCTGCTTCCAAGCCAGGTACAGAATTCGCCACTTAGTCCAACAATTATTCTGCCAATACACTCCCAAGCAAGCACGTAATCCATTGTTTTTGCTTGCGTGGCTGTATTGTGATGCCGGCTGATCTGCTGTTCTTGGCCGAGTACCTGCTCTCTCTTTCTCTGCCTACTGTCTTTTCAGGCGTAGTAGATCATCTTAGTTCTTCAAGATGATTCACTCCAACACTTGGTCCTTGGCAAAAAAGGGGTTTCGCGCTGGCGCGCTGAAGCCCTATAGCGCCTTGGCCACAGCCATCGTCCTCGTAGCCATCCTCTTCTTCTGCAGCGCGCCTGGACTTTCTCAACCGGGACACCGCCATTATGGGCCTGGGCCGGGTGGTCCCCGCCCTCCAATCTACGGGAGGCCCGGTGGCTATCCTGGTGGGTTTCGCCCTCCAATGGTCCACGGCCCCGGCTTTCGTGGCCCTGGAGGGTTTCATGGGGTACGTGGTCCATATGGTCCTCCCCACCCTCATGGTCCTGGTAGGTTTGGGGGAGGCCCGGGTCCTGTCATTCCTGGTCCAGTGCACCACCCTCCGGGACCTCCAGGACCACCGGGACCCCATGGCCACAGACCGTTCAACTACGGCTCTGCATCTCAGTGGTCAAATTTCGGACCCTCTTCGCAATACCCTTCTGTGCCCATGGCACCTCTCCACGGAGGACCAGGCGCCCAAGAACCTGGCGGGGAAGCTCTTGCGGCCGAGCCAACCCCGGAAGTCCCTCATGTGTCCAACAACCTATTCAACTATATGACACAAGACGAAGAAGGACTTACACACCAAGCCCCATCGTCAAATGATGCCTGGTTCGCATCCAACCCTGAGAGCTTACAGGGTGAATCAGCCACCGCAACAGGTATGGGTATAGAGGAGGAGCCAAGTGCAGAGAGCGACCGCGAAGACAGAGAAAACGAGGGTTTCTTGGCGAACAGGGCGAATCCAAAGGAGGAAACCAAAAAAGAGGCGAAAAGTGAAGAGTCAAAGAAAGAGGCGTCAAAGAAAGAAGGGGATGAGAATGAGGAGGCGAAGGAACAACAGGAAAAGAAGGCCGAGGCAGCCAAAAAGAAGGCGGAAGCCCTCAAGGAGGCTGCAAAGGAGAAGAGAGAAGGGGAAAATAGAGAAAATGAAGAAGAAAAGAAGGTGAATAGAGAGGAAGGCAAAGCAGAGGCCAAGAAGGCAGAGAAAGAAAACGAGGAAAAAGAAGACAGAGAAGCGGAAAAAGCTGACGAGAAAGATGATGAAAAAGAGGAAAAAGAAGAAAAGAGTGACCGCAAGTCGCACTCGAAAGAGTTCCAGAAGGAGGAGTCCTCCCGCAGTGAGGAGGAGTCCCACAAAGAGACATCTCACAAACAAGAGAGATCCCAGTGAAGAAAGATGCGCACGGCCTGACCGCATCAAGCCCTAAGATGCGACTACTGGACCCCAGCTCCAGAGTTCCTTAGCGCCCGTGAACACAATAGGCCCTTCAGCCACGCCTTAACGTGCGAACAAACTACAGTGGCGTTTGTAGACTTGCCACTGAGATATATGTGCCTAGTGACTTCGTATGGGATGTTGCTGAGAAATGTTTCACCTTTGTTCTTTCAATGAGTGATTTTTCCGCAGCGTTCAGACTGATCGTTTCACTAATTGACACTTGCTGTTCGATCCGAGCTGTCTGTCTGCCGGGTTAAGGAGTCTGAAAGTAGTCAGTTCCTGAAGTTGAAAACGCTGCTTAGAAAGGAGTTCTTCCTGGCGCATTGTTACTTTGCTCCATGACTCATTAAATATTTCCACTGTCGCGCTAGCTACAGTTCGAGTCTACACTAAGATGGTTACGCGCTGCTCACGCCTGAAGATAACCAGTCCGAAGAGAAAAGGCAGGGCAAGGATAACGTCCGCAGCAGCAGAATTCGCTGGCTGCCGTAGCTGTCGAACAGAGATTGACTTAATCTATGCAATGATGAAAGCTGGTGGCTGTGCAGCTTAAAACGCATGCGAATCACGCACATATAATTGGCTCAGAGCTTCTTGGCCTTCTTTTCTTTCTCTTTCTCCTTCCTGAGAGGGGCTGGGATGACTACGGGGGTTTTGGAGGGGATCTGCTTGCAGATTGTCTCGTACTTGGTTTCCTTGCATGGGTACTGCTGAGGCTTCATTCCTTGGCTGTAGCAAGTCTTGCTCATGACTTGCTGTTCCATGTGGCACTGCTCCTTATACTCTGTGCGCGTGCAAGGATAAGCTTCTTTACCCTTGACCTTCCTGTAGCAGGCCTGGGGCTGGCTGACCTTCTCGCAGACTCTCTCGCTGCATTCAAAGGCGACATCTCTTGAGACTTTTCGCTTGCACACTTTGGGCACCATCTTGCACTCCTTGGATTTGACCTCTTTGCTGCAGTCGTAAGGCTGCTCTTCGGTGAACTGACGAGTGCAGGTGTCTTCGTATGGCACCTCTTCAACGTGGCATTCCTGCTTCATTTTGGTTTCCATACATGGGTATGCCTTCTTGTGGGTATGAACCCTCGGGCACATGGGGATCTTGATGCAGTTTGGCACTTCAACCGTCTTCATGCAAGGATAGGGTTCCATCACAGGCACCTCGCGGAAGCAAGTGCTAGGCACCTCGACCTCCCTCTCTACGCACACCTCGCCCATCTTTTTCTTCTTGCAAGGAACCGTCTGTTTCGAAGAGACAAGCTGGTAGCAAACGGCGTCGACGTTCTCCTCCACATCCTTGCACACCTCTTGTTTGACTTTCTTCTCGCATTCATAGTATTCAGTTTTATCGCCTTTCTTCTTTTCGCAAGTAGAAGGCACGCTCACATTCTCCATTTTGCATTTCTGGGCCATCTGTTTCTTCTTGCACTTGTAAGGTTTCTGTTCCTCCACGATCTCCTCGCACATTTCAGTCACCTTCTGAGGTACAACCTCGCAGTCCCTGCGCTTTTCCCTCTTCATGCACTGGTACTCTTGTTGGGCCATAACCTGCCGCTCACATGTCGCCTCCACCTCCTTCGGCACCATGCTGCACTTTTCTTCAAAGCTGACAGCACTGCCTTCCTCTTTGCCTTTGCAGGGAACCAGCTCTTGCTGAGTCTCCTCCTGGAAGCATGTGCTTTCATATTCTTGAGGTACCTCTTGGCAGACCTTTTGCTTTTTGTGCTTCATGCACGGGTAGTTCTCCTTGGCGTTCTTCTTCTTGAAGCAAGTCTGGGGGATCCTCTTTACCACAGTTTCACACTGTTCCTCCTCACATTCGTATTCTTCTTGCTCGGTTATGGTTTTGAAACACTGTTTGGGCACCATCTTGCATTCTTCTTTCTTGACTTCTTTTTTGCAATCATAAGCCTCTAGAGCCGTGGTGGGCTTGTAGCAAGTGTCTGCCACCTCTACAGGAACCTTTTCACAAACCTGCTTTTCAACTACCTGAGGGCATACATACGCCTCCTTGAAAGGTACGTTCTCGAAGCAGACAGAGTCAACTTGCACAGGAATGGTCTGGCAGATCTCCTGGGGAGGAGGAGGACCCTTAGACTTGGAATACATAGGCGTCTTCTTGCCATCGTGTACTGGCATGAAACCTGCAGATACCTGCTCAGCAGTCAACACCGCCGCGGAGGCGGCAAGTGCCGCCAAGAAGAGGCGGGTCATTGTAGAGTATGAAACAAGAAGCTAGCGATGAATCCAACTGCTACACCTGACAATTGGCTGAGAATTCAACAACTATACCTGAAAATAAAGATGAAGGAGACAGCTGACTTTTGGAGAAAAATGCAGTTTGTCAGTCAGTCACTTTCGGTCTGCAGCCGCTGTCTCGCTACGGCCGCAGCAGCGATGGGGGGCAAGGAAGGTGACAGCGTCTATCGGCCGCTCCTTGCCTTTCTTTCCCGGAAGTCTATAACTACAAATCTAGTTGCTGAAACAATACCTCAAACACACATTTAAAAACTTGACCTTTTACAGAACAAAAATATCCCTCGTGAAGCCAGCCTGAGTGACTCTGTCGTCCGCGGCCACCCCACAGTGTCACTTCTTCGTCTGCACGCTCAAACCGCCCCAGAACAGAGGTGCTTTTGCTTCAAAACCACAGATAATGTAATTTTTCAGTCATTATATCAATTAAAAGTTTACAGCTATTGTTTCGCTGTACCAGCCGAGTTCGGGTCTGCGGAGAGCTCCAGGGAGCGCTCTCGGCGTGATGCTGCCCGACCACACCCGCAGTGGCAGCTGAGTTGCCTCTTCTTTGAAAAATGTGCTACCATGCTCTTTATATGAATATAGATAGATCTATGCAGACAAAACATAAGGGACATGCGGAAAGCAGGACAAAGAACTTCGGCGTAGAGCTACGGAGGGATGCAGGAGGAGCACGTGCACCTCTTGCGATGCTCATGAATTTCTGAACATGCAGGGAAATACTAATAGAAAACGGCGGCCATTTAGTAAAAAGCCCATTGCTGTCCTTGGAAAAGAATATGCCCACGAGACACCTGTGCGGAGAGGAATCCTACCTCTGGAGTGCGCACTCTTTGCAGAACACGTATATTTCGTTTCATTTGCACCTGATGATTTTCTTGCCGCGGGCATCTAGAATTAAAAAGATGTATACTTTTCCAAAATGGACCTAAGCATTACACTCATTCGGGGCCTCCGCCAGTCTGAGAAGAGTTCCGAACTCAAAGGCTGAGCTGAGCTTCGCTGTCGGGCTATTATTAAAACAATGTCCATATACGTAACGCAACCGTATGGTAGCGAAAGGAATGAAGTGTTTGCTAACTGGTGGACTTCGGCGGGCGCGCACACTGTCACAAACTCACGCCGTTTTGCACTGAACGTTCATGGCTTAACTTCCGGAGCAGTGCCAAGCTGAACTAAAAAATCGCGTGCAGAAGGGACTTCACATCGTTTGCTCAGCTCTGATGAGTTTCGCTATCTGCAGAAGTCCCAACAACTGGCCTTCCCACTGGTCTTCCCAATGGCTCGGGACAACAAGCTATACCAAAGTCACTTGGACAAAGGGCGCAGCTCTGGCGACACAAAAGCATAAAGTGCAGATTGCGGGAGCCACAGCCACCCAAATCGCTTCCGAAAATACTTAGTACCTGCCAAAGCGAGCTCCGGAATAGCGGAGCCTATCAATTGCCCTCTGAAGCAGCTTTCGGGGTTGTGGCTGGAGCAGCCTTCGCCGCGGTTTGAGCTTGAGGAGATTCTTTCTTTCCTCCAGAGTTCTGGGCCTCTGGTGCTGCAGCATCTCGCTTCTCTGAAGGCTGACTTGCTTTTCCTCCTGGCGGTTTGGGTTTCGGTGGCTTCTTAACAAGACGACGGCCGTACGGTACCTGCCGATAGGGTATCTCGCGGAAAGCCTTTGTGAAATCAGTGGCTACGCGGCGGCTGAATGGGCCAATGGTGTCGAATCCATTACCAAACAAGCTAATCTTCGTAAGGCCAGGAGAACGACCTATTAAGGCGTTTAAAAGTTCCTTCATGCAACCTTGAGATATTTTGTTCGACTGAAGCTCCAGAACCGACACAAATGGGAACCGCTTTGTCTCCGCCACCACGCGCTTGCATAATGCCTCGGCAAAAACGTCACCAAGACCGCACTTATTGAGGCACAATTGTTCAACACGCAATCCCAGGAGACTGAAAACGAAATTGGCTGCTAACTCAGTGTCACCGAGGTTGTTCCCGTCTAGTACCAACCGAGCGCATTTCGCCGCGCTGCCGCAGAACGCCACAACGTCGCTCATGTCCTCCAGCGGCGTTATGGAATTAAAAGACAAGTCGAGAAGCGTGAGTTCACTCTTGGAAAAAGCCGAGCTTGGAAAGCAATTCAGCGCCTCGCTGTCTAATTTCATGTTGCTCATGTCCACGCTTTGGAGACGAAAATCTTCAGCCACAGCAGAGAAAAGGCGCACAAACTGCCCAACCGCCAATGGACGGCCGCCAAGCTCTAAGCTTCGCCTGAAGCAGCTGCTGCAGTACTGGCCTACACCCGGATGGAGTGCTTCAAGGTTGCTCCTCGCAATCGTGTTGCAAGCCACTCCAGCTTGTCTGAGACAAATCGGAGGACATTAGTACGAAAGCACTTCTGAATACCTCAGATCATCCTATTTATGCATTTATACAATTGTGGACAACGCTACTTTGCTGGCCAGACAATGAAGAGAGTGGCATGCAGGCGCATGCAGTGGCGTTTTCTTTCTACAAGAAGAAAAAACTGACACTTTTCAGAGACAAATACATGAGACAAGTAAAGGACAAAATAAGCACCGTGTGTAGAAAAACACCGACTTCGTGGAAACTCCTGCGCACCTGAGTGTAAGTACCCTGAACCATTCTCGTACATAGTCTTCAGACTCTCCCTCAAGAACCCACGTCTCAGATTTT